GCCACATGCTTTCTCTTAGAGGGTTTTATCTCTACATACAACAAACCAGACTTGCACTGTTGTATGTATAACCATAAATACATCAAGAGTGTATTGTATTGTCTGCAGACGTCTGCAACAGTCATCGACTAGATAAGTGCAATTATAAGTAGGTCTTTACACAGAGAGGCTTTCATGCTACAGGCTTGTTTCTAGTCGTCCCTGTTTGGGGCCACATTTCATTGTTTCCTGGAGGGTGTTTAGATGGCTGCCCTGGTTTCCAGAAAGTATCTTAAAGTTGAATCTTTACCCATATCAGAAACATGTTCTACATTTAACCTGTTAATATGTTTTTCTCCTTTTCAGCAAAACTGAAAATTGCCACAGAGGTAATTGCCGAAAATCTTGGAAAGAGTTGGCGAAAACTTGGCCGCAAATTAGGTTTGAGTGAAAGCAAGCTGGAGTCCATCTCTAAAAGGCATCCCACAGATCTAGAGGAGACGGCAGTGGAGCTGCTGAAGGAGTGGAGGAAGAGTCGAGGAGCTGAAGCCCAAACTAACATGCTAATAGATGCTTTGAGAGCTTGCCAGTTGAATATGACTGCTGATAAAGTCGAGGACAGACTCTAGCAACCTGGAATACTTACATTGAAAATTGTTGCTCAAGAAAATGGCAAACAAAAAGGTTAAAGGTCATGAAAGTAATTTGAATGATTGATTGATCTCTATGTCCTGTTATCGTTGTTATTAGCAGAGTGTTGCTGTTTGGGTCTCCTGCTTTGTGAAACAATGTTGCTCTCAGTCTTTCAAGGTGACAACATTGCTGGTGATATTTGTTAATATGGCTCATATATAAAAGTGTTCAACTCTACTGAGGTACAGGATCATCTCATCAAGTGTTCCAAAATTATGAAAGATATTTTTTATGTCACTATTCATCCAAGATTTTGCTCTTGATACAGAATTTAGACGAAAAGGTAAATAATTAGGAAAAGAAGCTTATTTTGGAAAGTAAAATGAGATTTGTGTTGTTGTTCTTTTTATTCTTTGTCAACAGACAGCATTGTATTTTAATGCTTTTGCTTGTCTAACCCAAAATATACCCCGAATCCAACTCTTTTCCCTCGTAGGCTTTGATGTCATCAAGGTGGCAGGTCATCTGCCCGGGGTGCAGTTTCTGCAGACAAAAATGAATCTCATTAAGGGAACCTTTCTGTAAGAACCAACATGGGGCTGACAGATGATAACTGTGAGACAGTGGGAAGGAAATATTGACTTTAGCAGGACGAAGGCTCAGGGACTTACCTGTTGGGAGTGAGGGGGAAGAGAAAAGCAGAAGCACACAAAATAAAAGGCATGAGAGCCAGCGTTTAGAAGGAACGAATAATAATTAAATAGAGAGTGAAATGAGAAAGAAGAAACAACGCCCTAACTATACGCAAAAAAGAAAGTTTTAAGCCTAATCTAAAAAAACCAGAGGGTGTCTCCTGAATCCAAACTGGGAGCTGTTTCCACAGAGGAGAGGTCTGCCTCCCATTCTACTTTTAAATATCCGAGGAACCAAGCCCGCAGTCTTCTCTCACTCTGTTTCGATTACAGTACTATGAAGTCTTTACGATAGGATGGGCCCTGATTATGCAAACTGCAAAGGAATGTTTGTGAATTTAGAGATATTGCACAAAATTAAGCAGAAGCGTCCAACTTTTCAGCTTCTCAGGGAGTTTTTAGGAAATCCTGATAATAATGACTTACAGTCGTCCAGTCTAGAAGTAATACATGCAGGAACTAGTTTTTCAGCTTCACTCTGCGGATGTTTTTTTTATTTTAGAGATATTGCACAAATGGAAAGCAGTCCTACATATCTGTTTAATTTACACATTGAAGGACATGTCCTGGTCGAATATGATCTCACAGTGTTACTGGAGGCCAAGGTAACGCCATCGAACGCAAATATCTGGTCAGACAGGATATTTCTTTGTGACTGTAGTTTAACAATGCCAGGATAATTAATAATAATAACTAAATGGTGTGACTCATATTGTGTGGGATAGAAACAATTTCATGCTTAAAAACAACGAACCTTTGATTGGATGGCTCACCCTGATCTCCTCTCTGTGTGGCTACAGATGGGGCTAGCATATGAACATGAACTGATGCTAGTTTGGGTCAGTTGCAGAAATCTGTATTTTCCTCTTTTGAGGAAATTCGGGACAAACCTGCTGCAGGGCAGTTCAAAAAAATCCATGCATGAGACTTATTTTAATTTTACATGATATCTACCTGACTTGGTCTGCTAGAGCTTTTTTAATTTCACTTTAATGTTGGGATATTGTTGGGATATTGTTGGGATATGAAGACCCAGGTTCAAAATGGTAAATGGTCTGTATTTGTAAAGCGCTTTACTTGGTCCTAAGGACCCCAAAGCGCTTTACACATCCAGTCATCCAC